CCCCCAGAAAAGGAAAGAAAAAACCCCCACAACTCGCCAGCCTCAGCAGCGCTTGTCATCCCCGACACACACCAGCACAAGGCATCACCCAGCTCAGGGTGGGGGTGAGGCGCAGCACGCAGGTGCAGGTAGGTGCCACCCAGCCAGGCCCCGTGTGGGAGCTCTGCGGAGCCGTCAGCACCTCCCTTGCTGCTGAGGGAGGTTTGCCGCCGGGGCTCTGCGGCGCGCTGAGGCTGCCTCCACCCTGCCTGCTGCACAAGGGCATTGGGAGGGGCCCCGGCCGTGCTACCTCTTCGCCCCAAGCAGGCGCAGGGGTCTTCTGACAGCTCCCTCGGCCCATATGGATCCTGGGCAGGGATATGTTTTTTAATTGCCGTGAGCATTCGGGAAGCAACGGGGCTTGCCTGTAGACAAAAGGAAGCTGATTAGGAATCAGAGAGGACTGTCAAACTCTGGAGTGACTGGAGAAATGCTTAGAACAGCTAGAAGCACAAGTACTATATAGCACATATTAGGAATAGCTTGACTGTTTAAATGACCTAATGTTTTTTTTTCCCTTGAGCCTGCTCACCATGAAAGTTACTCCTAGGGAGATCTTTAAGATACAAGCCCCTACTAAGGGTTCATCATCCCAGTTTGGTGTACATGGGTAAATTTTACAGGTTCAAGTAAGAACCAGTTTTAAACAGAGAAAAGGCACTAGGCTTTGTGCTAACTAAAGAATTACAAGAGAGCTAGTGCAAAGTCTTACCTGAACACACAAGATTACCAAGGTATTACCTTCCCCAGAGACACCACCCCAACTGGGAGAGAGCAATGTGAGAAAGGGATGCTTTATCTCCTCCAGCCTTGCTTCTGCTGGGTTTTCAGCCAATCGTGTTGCCCCCCTTCAGCCTCACATAGATGCCTTACACCTGTGCAAAGGGGGATTGCACTGGGCCCATGGTGAGGTTGCTCTTCCCAGTGAAGTCCAGGTGGTTAGTGATAAGGCTGATGGGCACTGGTTTCTCCTGGTCAGAATTACTAATGTATTCATCCTTGCAGAACTCCAGATTATTTTCATTTTACAGCTGGGAAACTAAGACTTGCATGATTTTCCTGATTTTGCACAGGGTGTTTGTAACAGAGCCATGACTCTGAATCCAGGTGTGAGTTCCCCTCCATGTGTTCAGGCTTGACAGTCCTTTCTTTCTGCTCCTCAGAGGTTTCCCCCCCACATGATTAATAACATGCAAACTGCTCCATTTCAGCACCAGTGCAGCTGATGCTGATTGAATTCCTCGTTCAGTCTCCTTGGCGGGTCTGGAGACTGGCAGTGTTTTCACTGGAGAAAAGTCTGCTTTGAGGTGTCAGTGTGTCTTTTTTGGTCGCAGTGAACTTTCCTTATTTTTGTAACAATAAAAAGAAGATTAAGTATGTGAGGAAATACCTTCCATGTTTGCAAAAAATTAGCAATAATTACCTCAGGTTGGGGTATCACTTATGTCATAACAGTTAAACGGGACTTACAGCCTGAGGGACACTTTTCCACCTGATGGATAGCCCCAAGGAGTTATCCTTGGTGAGGCTCTCTGTTGCGGTAAATTTAGTTCTTGGCTACAGTATATTGTGAATGGGCAGCAGTAGTGGGAGTAACCTCCTACGGTTTTCTCTGTCAGGTTAGAAAGTGACAGTCGCAGTTTCCTCATTGACAGCCCCGTGTCACTTTATAAGGCGCTCTGCAGGGCCCTCCCTGTGTATGGCATTCATCAGCCTCAGTGGCCTTCCACTTGTGGTCTGAGGACCCTTCGAGGGGTCCAGAGGCCACTCCAAGGAGGTGAGACAAAATACACAGGGAGGCCCAGTTCATCTGTTATTTACGGCGGCCTACATATGTGAAATGTATAGAGGGGTTTGTGTTACTATTGCAAAACTATATGAGTTCACAAATGGAAAAACAGATTGAAAATTGCCGATAGACTTTTTTAATCTTAGTTCTCCTAAGGAGATTTGAAAATGGCAACTGGTACTCAGGAAGCTTTTCCTGGTGAGAGTAGGTTACCAGTACGTCATTTTTCACATCAGTCTCTTTCGTCTAACTGTGTTGGAGGGAGGCAAAGATAATCTCACAAACATAAACATTTACTTCCAGAGACTGCAGCCAGACAGCACCATTGCCCCTCCTGCTGTTTGCCCATGCTGAATTTACCTTCATGCTAACCTATGCTTGGTTCTCCCTAACACATTTGTGACTGTAGGGACTGGAAACTTTGTGCTCTTGGCTCAAGAAGGCTTTCTGAAGTTGAATATGGGGGAATTCCTTAATTGAGACAAAAATTACCACACGCAGAGAGTGGTTCTTTCTGGAGGGAAGGTGTTGAAGAAGGGAAGAGGTAGGAAAGGCAGTCAAGCCATGTCTCGTCTGCCATCCTTCAAGATTTGTTATGTCACTGTGCTTTTTGTCAGTCTAGAAAAGGAAAATGATTGTGTACTGAGCACTCTTATCTAATTGTAATTTATTATCACTTTTCTATTTAACATTTTTAAGTGTAAACTTATAAGCAGGGCTTATTAAACAGCATATAAAAATAAAACTGTTGAATATATTTGAATTTCACCTGTATTAATCTAATAATACATTTATAAAGTGGTATTTGATCAGCTTTATAGCTGATTGGATACCACAAGAGAGTATTAAATAAATTATTTGACAAATACGGCTGAGATTAAACAAATGATCTGTTTGCTAAGTGCTGTTCAACTGCTCTGCCATGGCACGTTCCTCTTGCTTTATTTAGGCTACCCTTTCTTTCCAGTTTTCATTCCACTTTTTCATGCTTTATCTTTTCCTGAACTGTCCTCAGTATCTATTTCCTTTAACTTTTCCTTTAACTCTTTCTCCTTTCCCTATACTGTTCTTTCTTTGTTCTGCAGATCATCTTTTCTTTCTGTCTTTTTTCTGCCTCTTTCTTCTACCTCTCTTTCCATGCCTTTTCATTCTAAATTAGCCCATTTTCACCTTTTTCTCCACCTTCTTGGTG